ATGTCCTCGGGCCTCGGAGCATTAATCAGACGGCGTAATTGTTCAGCATCTCTCTGAAGTTTCACTGTGTTTTTCCGAGCTCTTCTCAATAATTCATGCGAATGGCTTAAAGACATATGGAGCGAGGATTCTGAAAAACCTTCTGAGACAGGAAGGGCTCACTTACCCCTAGGTTGCAGAATGCTATCTTGATTAGTAAAATGCAAATGATAAATGTACCAAAGTGCCATCAAAAGCCACCCGTCTATTAAAACGGTGCTATTTTTGCAGGAACATCTGAGATTAATTCTTTAGCCCTTGAAAGAACAGCTTGGATTATCCCTTTATTGTGAACAGGCTGATTTGGCTGATCACAGATTGATCATTCCTTCAGTTTTCATATGCAATCTTAAGCCTAAAAGATGTGTCAGGATAACACAGACTAAATTAAAATGTGCAACTATTTTCTTTGGATGAGCATACCAGTGTTTTCCAATCCTATTTAACCCCTTAATAAGCCATGGGCCCGTTGGCAGACCCAAAGTTTTATTACACACTTCTATAACCTAAGAATAGCTCCATTAGTTTGCATGGAAGTCCCTGTAGTTACTGAATAATAAGCCTTTGTATGAAATAAACCTGGATTGTTAAAGGGGTTAAAGCAAAATTCCATCGATTTCTGCATAAGTAAATGGTTGAGATGTAAACAGAGTCATTCAGAGTGGTTTGCTGTGAAATGCTCTGTTCTAGAAACTTACAGAGTCAGAATTGTTCACAGTGGTGGTGATAGGAACTAGATGTCCACCTCTAAAAGCTCCCTCACAGAAAGTTACTACATGAAATGGTTATGAATTCACTGCTAATGCCTGAGACATTGTTTCATGATAGTGTTGAGATGGTACTTTTATAACCCATTAAGGGCAGAAAGGTACAGGAAGGGTGCTGTAAGGCAACGTCCCAAAAGAAAACTGTATTTTTTCAGATTTATTACTATTTTACCTTATATATAGCATTACATATAAAAAACACATAGCACACGTGTAGGTTCTCTGGTGGTTTTTGGATAATTAATAAAATGTCTATATTTGACATTGTCTATTTTTTGACATTGTGACTCCTGGTTCCTATCACCACCACTGTAAAGAGATCTGAGTCAGTAAATTTCTCTACAATTAAGCACTTTAAACCAAACCAATCTGAATGAGTTTATTTACATCTCAACCACTGAATTATGCAGAATGTTTTGAGAAATTGGTGGAACGTCATGGTAATGATCTGGTGAACTGAGTCAGGTGAGCAGCCTGGGCTAAATCAACAAGCGTATCCAAAGGAGATGAAAGAAGACTGTGGACCACGACAAACCAGTGATTTAAACAGCCAAGGACATCTTTCAGTACCATGGACAAGGCCATTCATACATCACCACTGCAGCACTCTGAGACCTTTCAGACGCCACAGGGACAAAAACACGATGTATGACACGTATGATCGTTTCTCACTCGACAATAGGAGGAAAGAAATATGAGTATACAGTCTATGACAATAACAAGCCTCCAATTATTAAGGCTATCAATGCAAATGATTGAGCTGATCTCATAATAATAATAATAACAATAATAATAATAATAATAATAATAATAATAATACATTATTATTATTATTATTATTATTATTATTATTATTATTAGAGTAGTTGTTGATATTATTTTTTATCATTAGTAGTAGTATAGCATTTTTATTATCATTACCATCATCATTAATATTGTTATTATTAATAGTGGCTGTGGTAATATTGGTAGTTTCATCATCATTATTGTTGGTGTTGTTGATGATGATGATGATGATGATGATGATGATTAAGATGATGACATTACTATTGTTACTATTATCATCATAAGTAGTAATGGGATAGCATTATTATTATTATTATTATTATTATTATTATTATTTATGCGATGGTGATATTATTACACTTATCATCATTAGTTGTAATAGTATGCACTGTAATCATCATCATTATTAGTAGTATCATCGTTAAAGGTAGTAGCAAGCTTATTATTATTATTAGTATTATTATTATTATTTATATGATGGTGATATTACTCTCATCACTATTAGTAATGTATAGTAGTAATATTACAGCATTATTATCATCATCATTATTAGTAGTATCATTATTAAAGGCAGTAGTAAGTTTATTATTATCAATACTAGTATTAGAATTATTAGTAGCACTATTATTGTTACAATTATTGGTGATATTACTCTCATCGTCGTCATTAGTAGTAATATTATAGCGTTATTATCATCACCATTAGTAGTAGTGTCATTTTTAAGGGTAGTGGTAGGTTTATTATTATCATTATTATTGTTATTATTATTATTATTATTAATAGTAGTAGTATAGTGGTATAGCAGTATAAATGGCTTACATTGCTGTCTCTGCGGCCTTTGGCTGGTTCTCTCTCCAGTACTGGCATCCTCTCTCTCTCTCTCTCTCTCTCTCCTCCGTTCCGGCTGGTCGAGCAAGTCTGAAAAGCCCCAACACACATCACACACATCAGAGCTGCACGCGGCGATTCACAGATTCGCATACATTTCCATCAGTCAGTCTCAGTTATCGGAGTTGTGTTTTACTTCTGGTCGCTGTAAAGAGCTTTGAGGTAAGTGATGATGCAGGCCTCGCTTTATTTAAACAGCTGAGCCTGAAAAAGGCAGGAGGCAAGACGAGGATCTAAGACTTTTCTTTTCTTTTCTTTTCTTTTCTTTTCTTTTCTTTATCTGAAAAGCTACGTTTTCCTGAATGAGCTTAATTCATTTGTATTAACTCTTAAACTCACCCTGTGACCAACTAATAGCGAGCATTTACCAAAGAGTACAAACTAATCTAGCAAGCCAGCTCATCTCCTTCATTCCACAGAAAACAATCAAACACAGGCTGCTTCATCAAAGCAGCTGCTGAAAGAGTCAGTCTCGGAGTAACTTACCTGTGGAGCTGCAGTTCAAGCTGGTCAGAAGTTTACTGAAGCAGACCAGGGCTCGCAGTGTCCAGCATCCATCCCTCCGTCTTTAGTGTCCGTCTCTCCGCTCTCAGCATCCCTCAGCACTCAGCATCCATCCCCGCATCTCTCTCTCTCTCTCTCTCTCTCTCTCTCTCTCTCTCTCTCTCTCTCTCTCTCTCTCTCCTCGGAGCTTCACGTGTTTCCAAGCGAGCGAAAGTGTTGAAGGTGCGTGTCCTCCGGCACAAACTCCTCCCATCTGCCTCCATTCGTGGACCGTGCTGTGAGTAACAGCCCATTTCATATCAAGTGAAGGACGAGATGTGTGGACGAAGAAACGAGCCGAGGAGACAGTGACTCACTCTTTAAACTGCGTGTTAAAGCATCTACGTTTAGTTAAACTCGGTCAAATTCAAACGGATTTAAACCAGTTCAAACTAAATCACACTCAAACCAATTTAAAACTGTTTAAACTCACACCTAACCCGATCTAAACCCGTTTAAACTCAACCAAACCCAAACCTAAACCAATCTAAACCCATTTAAACTCAATCAAACCTAAACCAGTCTAAACCCATTTCAGCTAAATCAAACCCAAACCTAAAACAATCTAAACCCATTTAAACTAAACTAAACCCAAACCTAAACCAATCTAAACCCATTTGTACTCAATGAAACCCAAACCAATCTTATCCAATTTCAACTAAACCAAGTTTAAACCTATTTAAACTAAACCAAACCCAAACCTATCTGGTTTAAACGCATTTAACTTAAAATAAACCCAGACCTAACCAGCTTAAACCAAAGTGAGCAAAACCCAAACCTAACCCATCTGAACCATTTACCCTCAGCCGAACCTGAACCTAAACCCGTCTAAACCCATTTAACCACTCAAACTCAAATCTATCCGAACTCAGCTTGACTTTCTCAAAACCATCCAAACTTACCAAAACCAGTTTAAAGCCCTGAAAAACCATTTCACCACACTGTAACCCAGCCCAGTCCGAACCTCACCTACCTCTCCTCAAACCCAGCTAAAGCGCCTTCAGCTCGTAATGCTGTGTCTACGCTGCTGTGGGTCTGTGATGTTGGTGCGTGTATCTGTCTCACTTTATTATCGCGCGCATTTATTGACAACACCCAGAAAAAATAGTTCTTCGAGGGTTCTTTAGTGAAGACAGGAGTTACACAGAGAACCATGAACACTCACTGAACCAGACAGACGCTGAAAATGAGAGTGCATGTCGCAAATTGTTCTTTAAAGAACCTTTTTAAAAAACTGTTCTTACCTTTTTTTGGGGTAATGTGAAGAGTGTACAGTAAAGACTGACCACACTCTGGTTCTCTCTCTCAGACACACTTCAAAACATCAGGCAACAGATATTTTTTAATGTATAATTTGCTTATTTTTTTCCAATATTCCACTTCCCCTCAGATTCAGGTCATGAGCTGAATGAGAAATACATGGAAAAAAATGTTTTAATTTATTTTGGAAGCTTAAGCTTCATTCATTTCTAAAAAAAAATGATGAAGAAGAAAAATATCTGTCTGTCTGTCTGTCTATTTATTTATTTATTTATTTATTTATTTATTTAACCCTGTCGCTGTGCATTTCACCCACAAAACACGGACACCAGCTTGAGTTTTGAACCACTTTTTATTATCAAAACTATCATCGTTCAAATGAGAATGTATCTGTTCCGTTTTGGTCTGACGTCAACACCTTATACATCACACAAGTCTTTACAATTCAGTGTCGCTTTATTCACACACTCACACTCACACACACACACACACACACACACACACACACACACACGTGGACACAATCAAAATAGACACACAGATTCACATCAATTTACAAATTCCTACATATGTACACGAATAATATTACAGTATTTAAAAGGTAGCATCTTCCAATAAACTAAACGTGTTTACATTTGAATATTCAATTACATTTATTTCAAACAATAAAGAAAAGACTCAGTTCCTCAAAACGAAAAATAAATAACATTTGCTTATATGGAAATATAGACTTGTAGCTTTTTTTTTAAATCTTCTTTCGTTTCGGTATATTTGACTGTACAACAGAACTAACGCGCTTTTCTAAACACAGCGGCTGTTTGGCTCCCGCGATGCTCTGCGGTACAGAGTCGGCAGTGAACGAACTCCAGTGAACCCAGATCAGCTCAGTGAGTTCAGCTCGGTGTGGGAGATTTTTACTTGTCTGGAAGGCGAAGCAGGACACAGGCAGGGTGGAGTCAGATGAAATGGGACATCAGTGCGTTTGGTCAGAAGTTTGGTCATAGCTGTGGCTTTATTAAGTCTACCTTAATATATATGCACATGTCATGATGGGGTGGACAACGTGTGCTCAGTTCAGTGTGATGTGCTGTTTTGGGTCATATGGGTGACAAAGCAATTGGTTTACGTTTCTAATGTGGTTATCACAATAACAGCACTTCCTTTTGCGTAATTAGAAGGAATACATTAGTAAGCAGAAGCTTTCTTTACCTGATGTCCCACAAAAGCTGAGGTCCTACCTGCGTATGGATACAGTCACACATACTCATGAGTGGATTGTATAGCTCGGCATGATTGGCAACTCGTCTGGGGTTTGTTTGTTTGTTTGTTTGTTTGTTTTGGAATGAAACTAGCCGCTAAATGCACTCAGGTCCTGATGACTCCTCCTCGGACTGAGACCTGGAGCTGGCGATCATTGCGTCCAGTCCGCTTCCATCTACAGGGAGTGGGGTGGTGGTGGTGGCCCTGGTGTTTGTGCTGATTTTAGGGGTCTTGGGGGTCTTGGTGTTGGCAGTGTTTGTGTTGTTGGTGTTGGTGTTGTTGGCAGTGTAGGTGTTGGGGGTGCTGGTGCTGTACGTGTTGGCATTGGCAGGGTACGTGTTGTAAGTCTCGCTGTTGGCAGTGTTGGTGTCCGCGCAGAGCCCCTTCCTCTTCGCCCTGGGCTCCTCCATCCTGATGGCGTCGTAAAGCCCCGCACCCCCGTCCTCCTCTTCCTCATCCAGCAGTATGCGCCTCTCCGAGCGCGAGGGCTTGACCTGGCACACGCGCCGCAGCGCCAGCAGGGCAGGCGCGTAGAGCACGTTGGCGAGGCCCATGCCCAGGTTGAGCTGCGCGAAGCCCATGGTGTGCACGATGTTGCCGGCCACCACGGGCCCCAGCGCGTAGGCCACGGAGTACGAGATGTCCGCGATGGCGTAGACGCTGCCGTAGACGGAGGCGTGGCGCACGTCCACGAGGAAGGCGAGAGTGGGCAGCAGCGCCGTGTCCACGAGCGCGATCCCAAAGCAGATGCCACACAGTGGCAACATCAGCTGCGCGAAGGTTTTGCAGGCGGGGACCACGCACGAGCTGGCGCCGATGATCAGCATGCCCACGGCGCCGTAGAACCACTGCATGCTCGGGTAGCGCGCGGCCAGCTTCACGGTCACATAGACGCCCAGCACGTGTGGGAAGAAGGAAGGCAGCCACGCCATGCCAATCTGCCACTTGGTGGCGCGCATGGTGACCTCCATCCAGCCGGCGATAGTGGGCTCGAGGAAGGCCAGTGGAATGTTGCAGACGGTCAGTGCGCCGGCCACCACGGCGATGTAAGGGTCCATGATCAGGCGGTGGAGAGGCGCACCGGCCGGCACGTTCTGGCGCGCGGTGCGGTTTGAAAACGGCTTTACCACGGCGAGCAGCAGGCAGCCGTCTGCCAGGCACACGCACGCGAGAACCACGAACGGCACGCGCTTGCCGGCGAGCTCGTACAGAATCCCGCCGAAGGGCGGAGCCACCAGGCTGCCAAAGGAGATGAAAGCGAGCGCGAGGCCGAGCGCGCGGCTGCGTTCTGCCTCCTCATCGCCGTAGCGATCGGCGATCATGGCGATTCCCGAAGTGTCCGCGAACGCCGAGCCCAAACCCTGCAGGCTGCGCGCGGCGAACAGCGTGCCATAGCTCTCGGCGAACGCGAAGACGCACGTGGACAGGAACATAACTGTGAGGCCGATGAGTAAGGGCACGTCGTAGCCCACGCGGTCGATGAACGGTCCGGAGAGGGGGTTCACCGCGAGCTGCAGAATGGCCTTGGAGGCGAAAAGCACGCCGATTTTAACGTCCAGGTTGACCGGCGCAATCGTCGGCCCCGCGCCTGTGCCATTTCCGCGCGCCTGCGCCTGCGCTTTGGCCTCCGCCTCTGCCTCGCTCTCCAGCCCAGCCAGATAGTCCGGGATGATGGGCACGATCACCATGTACAGCATGTTGTCCAACAGCAGCGCCACGCACACGATCACCAGGATCACCGTCCTCTGCCTTTTTGGGTCCCGCATGGCCTCGCGCACCTTCGTCGCCACTCCGTTGCTGCTGGACTCCATCGCGTCTCACTGTCCGCGCTCAACAAAGTGAAACTTTCCTCGAATCTCGGGCTCTCGTCCCCGTTTCTGGACGCTTCTGGCGCGCGCTTTTGCGCGCTTTCGGTTTGCCAAAGTGTCTCTCGCTCGCTCGCTCGCTGTTCAGTCTCGCGCCTTCGCCTCTCATCCCGCTCGGGGCTGAGGAGGCTGATGATGCTGATGAGCTCGTGCGGTCCTCTCTCTCTCTCTCTCTCTCTCTCTCTCTCTCTCTCTCTCTCTCTCCTTCTCAGCAGATGCAACTCTCTCTCGCGCGTCTTTCCTTCTCCATCTTTTACGCACCAGCGCGTAAAAAGCTGTGGCACTCCGGACCGGGTGGGTCTCTCTCTCTCTCTCTCTCTCTCTCTCTCTCTCTCTCTCTCTCTCTCTCTGTGTTTTCTCGGCGCGTGCGCGCATCACGCCTACGTCAATGTGTGCCCTTCCCTCCCCCCTTTTCCAGAGCCGTTGGCACGAATGATCTTGTGTGTTTGTTTGTTTGTTTCTCTCTCTCTCTCTCTCTCTCTCTCGCTCTCTCTCTCTCTCTCTCTCTCTCTCTCTCTCTCTCTCTCCCCATCTTCCTCTCCAAGGGTCAGTGACGCACGGCGTCCTGAGTCTAAAAACGGACGTGCACTGACCCAGAGTGGGGGCGGTCGAGGGTGTGACGCGCAAAAACAGGAAGAAAAAATAGAAACAACAGTGTAAAGAACATTAATCACAGCGCATCTGACCAAAACCTGAGACTCTATTAGTTTCATTCAGAAAAAAAAGAATGACTCATGCTCATAAAAAGCTGAAGACTCGCGAGTTAAAACTGTTTATAGATGAAGTCTCCTTGCAGAACATGGAGGCAATGTTTCTCACTGCGTCTTCTTGATCGTTTTAATTCCACTTAATATTAATAATTCACTTTCCAGTGGTCTGAAAGTGCATAAATGCGCTCTGTAAACCTCGCCACGCCTCGTTTTGTCGTAATGGCTCTAGAACCGTGTGTTCTGTTCGAGTATGTGACCGATATAAGTGGCTTTCCAGTAGATTCACAGCCTATTATTGCTTTTGCGCATTTAACTTGTCCTGGGCAACTTGTCCATTTCCTTGTGTGAACTGAATATAAAATGCCTCTATAAAAGCTCTGCTGTGGTTTACTGTAGATAATTTCTTAATGTAATTTAGAAACAATTATAACAATTATAGCACCAAATATAATGTCTTGTACATCTGTAATACGAATGGAATGACTTAATAATGAATACCCAGCAATATGACAATGTAATACCCATAAACCCAAAATCAGTAACACCAATATAACACCTTAAGGACATCTTAAGGTGTTATATTGGTGTTACTGATTAATATATATATATATATATATATATATATATATATATATATGAATTATTAATATTTTATATTTACACTGATCAGGCATAACATTATGAACCATGTTTCTATGCTCACTGTCCATTTGTTAACAATGAGTGTTAGTGTGTTAGTGTGTGTTGTGCTGGTCTGAGTGGATCAGACACAGCAGTGCTGCTGGAGGTTTTACACAGTTAACACTGTGTCCACTCACTGTCCACTCTATTAGACACTCCTACCTGGTCAGCCCACCTTGTAGATGTAAAGTCAGAGACGATAGCTCATCTGCTGCAGCGCAGTTTGTGTTGGTCATCCTCTAGTCCTTCATCAGTGGTCACAGGACGCTGTTGTCTGGATATTTTTGGTTGGTGGACTGTTCTCAGTCCAGCAGTGACACTGAGGTGTTTAAAACCTCCAGCAGCACTGCTGTGTCTGATCCACTCAGACCAGCGCAACACACACAAACACACCACCACCACCTTAGTGTTACTGCAGTGCTGAGAATGATCCACCACCCAAATAGTACCTGCTCTGTGAGGGTCCACGGGGGTCCTGACCACTGAAGAACAGGGTAAAAGGGGGCTAACAAAGTATGCAGAGAAACAGATGGACTACAGTCTGTAACTGTAGAACTACAAAGTGCACCTATATAGTAAGTGGAGCTGATAAAATGGACAATGAGCGTAGAAACAAGGAGGTGGTCATAATGTTATGCCTGATCGGTGTATATATAATCCCACTAATGCTTATATACCAATACCAGTAACACGTTTCAGTCATAATGTTAAACAAATATAACCTAATCACAACAATGTCTCCAGTAAAAGCGCGTTTGCAGAAGCAGAGTTGAGCTTCAGCACCACAGTGAAGGACAGCGACCACGGAGAGACTTAACTGACCAAAACTCACCATCACGACTCAGATGAGTTTAAAATCAGTGAGAAAATGAACCTGTTCGTCTGATCTCCTGGCATAAAGTACTTCAAACCATTTTTAAAGGTTTTAAGTTAAAGCTGCTTCCATTTTAAACCTGGTGGCAGGGAAATAAACAACAATAAACAACTGAGTAAGAAGCCTCAGAGCTGAAATGCTGTGTGGGTTGTTGGTAAATGCGTCCTCAGGGCAGCAGAGCAGTGCAGCGCTGGATTAAAACCTTTCAAACGAGCTGCTGCCTTTTCTTAAACGCCACGACACTGCCATCTAGCGGAAAACGTAGGTTAACGCGCAAATCTGCTGGACTTGTTCATTTATTTAGTATTTTGTTTCATTCATGCTCTCAGCTTTTATACAGCACCATACATTTGGATACATATACACATAATGTATAGACCCAATAAACAACAACAACAACAAAAACGGTTATTTAGTAAGAAAGTTACATTTTGTGTTCAGTACTTTAAGCTAAGCTATAAAGTAAATGTATATATTTTTTTTAAAGTAATGTATAAGTGTCATTCTACACAAACGTCCATTTTTGTGTCCCTAGTGTTTACAGATATATTACACTGTTAGGGTTACAACTTATTTATATTTTAATATGAAACAATAAGTTATTTTAACAGTTACACCTTCTTGTGCCTCAATTTAGCAATATTGGTTTTTAAATCAATCATATAGAATTCCAAGCACCACAGAAGTGGTTGTCCTCACAGTCATGTGTGAAGGGTGAGGTGTTTGCTAAATAACACATTTTTCTGCAATTTTAACTACAATTATCTATACATGACTATGGAATTAAATGACATGAAGAAAACAAATGGCAAACAAATTTTATAAAATATATAATGAAAGTTGTTGTCCCCAGGAGTCGTGTCACTGGTGTTACCACGGAACAACAAATCTCTTATTTTGAAATAAAAGTCACACTGATGACATCACTTGACTTCCTTTTACCTGTTTTCTGAGGATCTATGAAGAAAAGCACATGGTGAGTCCACTGTGTCTTTCAGTTATCAGAGATTTTCTCTTTTAGCTCATGATTTCATATGAAGCTTTTAGCTGAAGTCACTGGTGCGACCGACTTTATTCTGAGGTAATTGTGAAAAAATAGATTACAAATGGATTAAATTACATATTTTAGTGGATATTCCATGATTGACAACATGTGGTTTGATGCTCTGTAGCAGCCGTTTAGTAAAATGCATTGTTCATTAAAATGTCTCTGGTGTTTCCTTTTTTATGTGCAACACCAATGAGTATCAGTAACACCAGTGACTCCAGTGGATAGATAGAAAACACATTTAGAGTGACCCATAAACTAAATATACAAGTAAATTTGCACATTTGATAAAGTCATTGCTATGGTATCCCAAGTGGTTGCTAAGGTGCTGTTAGGCTGATTCTATAATGTCCCAGGTGGTTGCTAAGGTGTTGCTAAGCCATTGCTATGGTATCCCAGGTTGAGGCTAAGGTGTTGTTTGGCCATTGCTATGATATTCCAGGTGGTTCCTAAGCAGTTGCTATGGTATCAACAGAGGTTGTTAAGGTGTTGCTAGGCTATTGCTGTGGTATCCCAGGTGTTTGCTAAGGTGCTGCTAGGCTATTGCTGTGGTATACCAGGTGTTTGCTAAGCAGCTGCTAGGCTATTGGTGTGGTATCCCAGGTGTTTGCTAAAGTGATGCTAGGCTATTGCTATGATATTCCAGGTGTTTGCTAAGGAGTTGCTAGGCTATTGCTGTGGTATCCCAGGTGTTTACTAAGGTGTTGCTAGGCTATTGCTGTGGTATCCCAGGTGTTTGCTAAGGTGTTGCTAGGCTGTTGCTCCTTCCTTCTTGTTCACAGTCTTGAGGTTGAAACTTGCCTGTTGTTGCTCTAAAGGGCTTCATTCTTGCTTCTGCTACTACTTGCCTGGTCTATTGCAATGCATTGTATTCCTGACTTTTCCTGTACTAGTTTTACTTTTGTCAGATTAATTGGCAAGTATGTGCTTTTACTCCCTGTGACATCACTAACTGGGTGTGGCCAGAGCCACAACATGCCTGAAAGTTGAAACCTTGACAGAGGTTGTTAAGGTGTTGCTAGGCTATTGCTGTGGTATCCCAGGTGTTTGCTAAGCAGTTGCTAGGCTATTGCTGTGGTATCCCAGGAGTTTGCTAAGGTGTTGCTAGGCTGTTGTTGTGGTATCCCAGGTGTTTACTAAGGTGTTGCTAGGCTATTGCTGTGGCATCCCAGGTGTTTGCTAAGGAGTTGCTAGGCTATTGCTGTGGCATCCCAGGTGTTTGCTAAGGAGTTGCTAGGCTATTGCTGTGGTATCCCAGGTGTTTCCTAAGGAGTTGCTAGGCTATTGCTGTGGTATCCCAGGTGTATCCCAGGTGTTTGCAGGAGACTTTTCCTGTACTAGTTTTACTTTTGTCAGATTAATTGGCAAGTATGTGCTTTTACTCCCTGTGACATCACTAACTGGGTGTGGCCAGAGCCACAACATGCCTGAAAGTTGAAACCTTGACAGCAGTGTAGTGCTGTACTCTTAAAAAAGACTGCATTATATTTGAATCCAGAATAGCAGATTTTGAATGTAAAAGTACACAAAAATATAAAACTAATAAGATTTACCTTAAAAAATACAAAGAAAAAAAAACATTCAATTGTTAATATGGACATAAAGCTTTATATAATGTGCTACATATTTAATTACATATAATTATGTAAAATTAGTCATTTTACATGAATTTGTATGTAATTTTTAAAAAGTAGACAAATACAGTATAAAAAATGTAGTATTTTTTCCATTAAAAATATAAGAAATAAGTGTAATTTGTCACTATTGGCATAATCCTTAAATAACAATTGGGTTGTTAAATTACAGATATTGTCTGTAATTTTACAGAGTTATGAATACAATTAAAAAAACTACTAACTAGTACAGAAAAC